TTCTTTCTTTCTTTCTTTCTTTCTTTCTTTCTTTCTTTCTTTCTTTCCTTCTTTCCTTCCTTCCTTCCTTCCTTCCTTTTCTTTCTCTCTCATACACACACACACACACACACACACACACACAGAGCACTTAACAGACAAGCATTTTGGAAACAGCTCCTTTAAATTTCTCCAAGGCTTGAGTGGATTCCCCCACCCCCTCTGTCAGACCGCACTCCAGCACTTTAACTCACAAGGGGAAAGCGATACTTGCAGCATCCATGGGGAATCCTTGGAGAAGTTTTTAAAAGACCTGCTTTCAAAATGCATTTCTTTTACGTTGCAAAAGTGCTCTAAGGCTCGATTCACCCCCACCCCCTCTGTCAGACCGCACTCCTTCTCACTCCAGACACTTTAACTCACAAGGGGAAAGCGATACTTGCAGCGTCCATGCCTTTCTTCCTTTTCCCTGGGGAGAAAGAGGACGTGGGGGACGGAAAGCTAGGAGAGCGATCGCAAGTGACCGACCAGGCGACCGGATTGGGGCCAGCCAGGGATTGCCACCGGTTCGGCGACCCATGCCAAATAACTGCCACTGGTTCACCCGAATAGGTGCGAACCGGTTGAATACCACCTCTGATCCACATCCCAGGGAAAACCAGCCGGGAACCAAACTTTGCCACATCTGGACTGACCCGTCCTGCCGTCTCTACGGGACTCTAAAACTACTACAGGATCTAATAATAATGCCCACATCAGGAGGAAGATGGCTCTTCTTCCAACATGAGGCATGCCATCCTCTGTCAGCAGATTTGGATTATATTTGGCAATCTAGCCAACCTTTGGGATAGACTCATTCCTGGCCACAGAGCAACTTTATCCCTCACTCCCCCATCCTGGGAATGGCTGCAAGAAAATGCAAAGGCCATAAACACTAATAGACTAGATGACCCAGGAGGAAATAAATGTGAGCCGGGGAAACGCTATTTAAATTGAGAATTTTCCAATTATAAAATAAGTGCTTAAAGACTGTGCTGATCAGTTGGCTGGAGTCTTTACCAGGATCTTCAATCGGTCTTTATCCCAGTCCACTATTCCATCTCGTTTGAAGGCTTCCACCATTGTTCCGCTGCCAAAGAAGTTCCCTATCAATAACCTCAACGATTACAGACCAGTGGCACTCACTCCTATCATCATGAAGTGCTTTGAGAAATTGGTCTACCAGCACATCATTTCTGGTCTTCCGCATACATTTGATAAACATCAGTTTGCATACAGAAGAAATAGATCTACAGAGGACGCTATAGGCATCACTCTTCACACTGCTCTGACTCATCTAGAACAGCGGGGGGGGGGGGGGGG